TTTTTTCACATTTATTTATTTTTGAGACAGAGAGAGACAGAGCATGAACAGGGGAGGGGCAGAGAGAGAGGGAGACACAGAATCTGAAACAGGCTCCAGGCTCTGAGCTGTCAGCACAGAGCCCAACGCGGGGCTCGAACTCACAGACTGTGAGATCATGACCTGAGCCGAAGTCGGACGCCCAACCGACCAAGCCACCCAGGCGCCCCTCGTGTACTTTATTCTTGATTCTTGCATTGTGATTACACAAAGAATCAAGGTGGATAGAATTTGCAGTTAGAAATAAGTGTGTGAGGCAGAGGTAGGTGATTTTCAAAACTGTTCTCTGCTCTGTATCATCTCAGTATGAAAATCACAATCCTTCTGGTCACCATGTTTGATGTTTAGGAGTCATCATCATTCTCCCCCCCATCCTACTCCCCTCCATTCCCTAGTTGAATCCTAACTATTCTTTTGTTTTAATTTCTCCCTTCCTCTTCATTTTTATCACCATATTTCAAGGCCTTTTAAAATTTCTTACTTAAACTGTTACAGTAATATTTCTGCTTCCAGTCTCTTCATCTTGTCCTGTGCCCTGGTAGCAAAGTGATGTGTGTTAAAAATCAATCCGGTTATGTTACTCTGCTACCCAGCAAGCCTTCTTTAGCTTCCCATTACCCGTTTGAGAGCCAAGCTAATGACATTTTAGGACGTTCCACATTCTGATTCTGTTGCCTGTCATTTCTTAGGCGTGCCATCCCTTTTTTAGCCCTTTCTATAGCTCATTTTGTTTCCATTTTATTCTTATATTGAGACTTGAGCACTTAACTTCGTACCTCACAATGAAATCTCAGTTGGGGTGCCTGGCTGGCTCACTTGGTAGAGTATGTGACTCTTGATCTTGGGGTTGTCAAGATCTCAGTGAGTGGTTGCTGAATTATAATATTATAATGTGTAATCCAGGGTCACACAACTAATTAGTGACTGCTGAGAAGTAGAATTCAGATCTCCTAACTCAATTCAAACGATGTTTTAAAAGCTATCATTTAGGGGCGCCTGGGTGGCGCAGTCGGTTAAGCGTCCGACTTCAGCCAGGTCACAATCTCGCGGTCCGGGAGTTCGAGCCCCGCGTCGGGCTCTGGGCTGATGGCTCAGAGCCTGGAGCCTGTTTCCGATTCTGTGTCTCCCTCTCTCTCTGCCTCTCCCCCGTTCATGCTCTGTCTCTCTCTGTCCCAAAAATAAATAAAAAAACGTTGAAAAAAAAATTTAAAAGCTATCATTTAGCCTATTATCAGAATTACAGAAACTACTAGAAAGATAATTGTAGACAAGGAACTTCTAAAATGAGTAGCCTAGTTGATGTCAACACTTTTAAAAATCATCTCAATATATTAAATGTGAATAAATTCAATGTGTATGATTCATTTATAAACCTAAAATTTCACAGGCATTTTTGGGAATCTCTTTAACATCTTTGTAGTAGAAACTTATCTTCTCTATATAGAGGAAGATATCTTTGTCTTTGCAATTTAAAAGACTTGTCAAATAAATTCTTGTTTCTTCAGCCATAACTGACTGATTCATAATGCTAGAGGTATATCTTGCTTTAAGAAAATTAAGTATGTGAAACAGATATAAGATATGTCTTCTCTTTATGACACAACATGGCAGTACTTTAAATAGTGAATTCCTCTAGTTTATATTGCAAATGATTTCAATTTTCTGATTAAAGCACAGAAAATTCTCAACATTACCACCACTATTGTATCAATCAAGGTACATCTGTATCTTTTAGCCCTTATATCTAATTTTAATACTGTAACTATTTTACCTTTTTTAAAGTGATTTTAATCTATTTGTTTTGTTTAAACAATTACTGTTTTGCATCTTACACCTCCCCCCCTAAAACTAGTAATCATTGGTAATTCCCCTAATCTTTCAGGCTTTTTCCCCCCCTAATCACCTTGGGCAATTCTGAAAAGGTATGATAGTTCCCAGTTTGTGTTTTATATACTTATGTGTAGAAACAGTTGCATCCTAATAATTACATTTAAAATGTTTAATATCTGCTTGCCTACAGTTCTCTTAAGAATTGTCTTAAATAATGGCATTTTAATTGACTACTCCAGTAAACATTTCTCAAGCATTTAAAAAATATTCTTGGGGTTCCTGGCTGACTCAGTCAATGGAGCATGCAATTCTTGATCTCAAGGTTGTGAGTTTGAGCCCCATGTTGGGTATAAAGATTACTTTAAAATATTTTTTTAATAAATACAGACAGACAGACATGCATACATACATACATACGTGAATTCATTCTTCCCATGCATAGAATTTCAACTGTTAATTTCTCTTGTTTTATTAGTTGGCACCATTTATAAATAGGTAAGACAATTGTTGATACTAATAAACAAAGGCAGTTCATATTTTTACATTTTTATAAAAATGGAGAACTTTTATATCATTTTAATGAAAACTTTTTGATCATTTGTGATCACAGACAACTTTGAGAATCTGATTAAAGTTATATATCCATTCCCCAGAAAAATACATATGGGTACATCCACCTACCCCACCCCTGCCAAGGTAGCCACTGTTAAGTGTGTGGTAGATTTCCTTCTGTCCTTTGTGTATATACATATGTATGTATGTGCACACACACACACACTGTCCCTCTCTCTTTAACATATATTGGGTCATCTAGAGACTGTTTCACAGTTGTTTCTACTTAGATGTCTGTGAGGTATTTTTTTTCAATGCTATTACATCTCAGTTTATCTCACTAATTTTAATTGTCTACAGAGTAGACTGTCTATAGCATAGAGGATTTTCCTTAGTAATAGAAATTTAGGTTAGTGTTTCTTATGGGTGAAATTACATTTCATTTATAGCAGTGAAAGTGCTCTTTTTTTTTCTAAGTTTATTTTGAGAGAGCCCTAGTGGGGAAGGAGCAGAGAGAGAGGGAGAGAGTGAATCCCAAGCATTCTCTGTACTGTCAGCACGGAACCTGACGTGGGGCTTGAACCCACAAACCGTGAGATCATGACCTGAATCAAGATCAAGAGTCAGACACTCAACTGAGTGACCCAGGAGCCCCAAAAGTGCTCTTTAACAAGATTTTCAAAAATACTTTTAGAAGTGTTTTAAATGTGTGTGTGTTTTTAACGTTTATTTTTGAGACAGAGAGAGAGACAGAGCATGAATGGGGGAGGGTCAGAGAGAGAGGGAGACACAGAATCTGAAGCAGGCTCCAGGCTCTGAGCTGCCAGCACAGAGCCTGACGCTGGGCTCGAACTTACAGACCGTGAGGTCATGACCTGAGCCGAAGTCAGATGCCTAACCGACTGAGCCATCCAGGCGCCCCTAGAAGTGTTTTAATGTGGGATCTTTATTTTCTACAGTTGGCGTACATTTAAAATAACTACCTGAGGGGCACCTGGGTGGCTCAGTTGGTTAAGCATCTGACTTTGGCTCAGGTCATGCACTATCAGTGCAGGGCCTGCGTGGGATTCTCTCTCTCCCTCTTCTCTGTGCCCCTCCCCTGCTCGTGCACTCTCACTCGCTCTCTTTCTCTCTCTCATAAATAAATAAACTTTAAAAAATAAAATAAAATCACTACCTGAGGTCAGCAGTACAAACTGACTGTATTATAGCCACAGACACATTTTGTTTTACCTGTAGTTATTAAGTGGGGAGATTTCACACAGAACCTGCTCTTTGAAAAATAGAGCAGGCAGTCTTTAGCCCAAACTGACATATGTTTTCAGTGTATGGAATTCGAGTCACAGCTTGCCCTTTATCTGGGAGTAGGCACTGCCCAGATGGCACCAGCAGGCCCAGTTCACTTATTATTCTCCTGATTGTGTAAGATTTAAATTTGTTATTCCCCACAGCCTGAATGAAAGGAATATTTAACATACAAGATTGCTCATTCAACTGAATTTGTGGTATATCATTATTAATAAAGGAAGAGAAAAAAAAAAAAAGCACATTGTTAGACCAAGACAGAAAGTAACTTTTAAAAACGCAACCAGAAGGGCGCCTGGGTGGCTTAGTCAGTTAAGCGTCCGACTTCTGCTCAGGTCATGATCTTGCGGTTCATGAGTTCGAGCTCCACGTCAGGATGTCAGGCTCTGTGCTGATAGCTCAGAGCCTGAAGCCTGCTTGGGATTCTGTGTCTCCCTCTCTCTGCCCCTCCCCTGCTCACACTCTGTCCCTCTCTCTCAAAAATAAACATTAAAGGGGCGCCTGGGTGGCGCAGTCGGTTAAGCGTCCGACTTCAGCCAGGTCACGATCTCGCGGTCCGTGAGTTCGAGCCCCGCATCAGGCTCTGGGCTGATGGCTCAGAGCCTGGAGCCTGTTTCCGATTCTGTGTCTCCCTCTCTCTCTGCTCCTCCCCCGTTCATGCTCTGTCTCTCTCTGTCCCAAAAATAAATAAACGTTGAAAAAAAAAAATTTTTTTTTAAAAATAAACATAATTTTTTTTTTAATAAAAACACAACCGAAGAATATCACGATTGATATTAAGTAGGATTCTGCTTGTCTAAATATTGCTTTGTTAGCAGCTATGATCTACTCATTCTAAATCCTGTTTTTAGCTGTAAAATTCAGTGACTTGGATTATTTCAAGATTTGCCTTTGGTGACTATATCAAACTTACGTGATATGTTTATATTTTTCAAAGAAATTATAATTTAGAACTGTCGTAAGATCATTTACCTCAGTCCCTGTTCACGCTAGCTCACCATGCCTTCTCCTATGCCTGAGTACCTGAATGTGCACTACATTGGGGAGTCTGCTTCCAGACTGCTGTTCTTATCAATGCATTGGGCACTTTCGATTCCTTCCTTCCAGGCTCTAGGGTAAGTGTTTTAAAGTCCTTGAGTATAAATGTGGTTTTATAGCACAAATATACACTAAGCAAGAACTTTTTTATTGGATGGATTTGCATTAAAGAAAGAAAATGATATAACATTATAACTTAAAGTTTTGTTATTTATATGACAAATTATGGCAATTAGTATTATATTATTTTTTATGTAGGAACGGTATCCATGTTTCATAATTTGAGTTAATAATTCAAATGAAATGTGTGCAGTGGAGCTGATAAATCATGGCCAGCATTTGAAATAGGCCATCTTTGACCTGAAGATTGTGAGGCTGTAGGTATGTCTTGGGCTGTTGTTTCCCTCCCACCCCCTGTTTAGTGTTCATCTCAGGCATGTTAATAAGGAGCTGAAACTTGCACACAGTGTATATGTTTAAAAGTAGAAAAAAGTTGTTTTTCAACTGTGGTTACAAAAAGTGGGGAAGGGGAAGAAAATGTAAACCCCATAGTACCACTCTGATAATTTAGAAGTACCTACCACTGAGGAACATATCAATAATCTGTATTCCATCAATATTACCTAAAATTTGCCAGGCTTATTTAGATTGCTTTAAAGTAACTAGTATGAAGAGACAAAGAGACCATGGAAAAATAAGCTCATAGTTAAAAAAGTGTTTTTCTAGTCACAGGACCTTACTCACCAATATGATTTCGTGAACAATACACTTTCATATCCTATACATCTGTTCTCCCATTTGCCAAATAGGAGCAATGACTTCCCATCCTTAATTCTTAAAGAATATTTTTTAATATAACTAAGAAGCATATCTCAGTCATGACTTTAAAAAACATACATAGAGGGGCACCTGGGTGGCTCAGTCGTTTGGGCGTTCAACTTCAGCTCAGGTCATGATCTCACATCTCATGAGTTTGAGCCCCGCGTCGGGCTCTGTGCTGACAGCTTGGAGCCTGGAGCCTGCTTCCAATTCTGTGTCTCCCTCTCTCTCTCTGCTCCTCCCCTGCTCACAAGCTCTCTCTCAAAAATAAATAAAGATTTAAAAAAAAAAAAGCATACATAGAAACCCCACCATAATTTGGTTTATAATTTAGTGTTGGATATACCATAAGTTAAATCACAGTACTTAACTAATACAATTACATAGATTGAAAGCCGGATTTAAATGGTTAACCTTTAAAACTATTGTTAGCCCTTTCTCTCAAAATAACAGAGTTTTCAGAATTACTTCAGTCTTTTTTAACAAAAAATTAAAATATATAAATTTACACATAACACCATTGATCTTATAACACTGTTGATCTTAAGTACTTCTGTTAAATTAAGTTTGATTATCCTATGGAAACATTCTCCAAATGTTAAAGAAACCAAAAATAAAGCCTGAGATTTCCAATCATAATACAATTTTATATTGGCAGCCACATTTCCCTGTGACCTGTACTGAAAATTGGTTTCAATGTAACAGCCACAGGATTCCTTGCAATTAGAATTAACCATTGGTATAGTATTTGAGGCCATTAATTGCTACAGAAACTCTTAACTATACACATCTAGATAATTTGTAATTTGATTTAATCAGATGGAAGAAGGCTAGGTACTAATGGTGGAAAATCCTGTTGTGTGGTAATAAACGCTACTCTGAATCTCCTAGAAACTGACATTCGTTGCATTTTTATTTATAGACACAAAATTTGGAAACAAAGCCCTAATTATACAGACAGAAACAGATAAGCAACATTAATCATTTTCTAAAAGTTGAGTTTGTGTTGATAACTTACTTGAATGGAAGGGAACAGTAGTTTCAAGAATCTTAAACAGTAGGTGGTTAATTCTGTTTGTATTTTATAGTACTTTATGCTTTACAAGGATATTACTTTTCTGTTACAAGATTTGAAGTCTCAGAACTTACAGGAATTCAGTTGTTTTTCACTTCTGTCTGCATAATTTAGATGACTACACAGTAGTAGGTTCAGTTATGGGCGCTTGGCAAGATTTGTCAGCAGTCCCGTCTACCTAGATTCTTGTCACATAACCAAAAGTTCTAAACCATCACTATTTGCTATAGGAGATTTTATTTGCTGAATAACTCAAGAAACCTTCCATTAAATGCTGAGCCTTAAAGTTGAATCTTTTTAAATCCCACTGAAACAAAGTAATGTTTACTATGGCTGGGGGTTTAAAACCAGCTCTATTGCCCTATCACTGACTACTTTTCTCTAAGGACCATGCCTTCCTTTCAAACAAATGCTGCTAGGTAAAGTACAATGCCTTGGGTTTATTTGTGAAGAAGACAAATGGTTATGTTAGCCCCGGGCATAAGTGACTTCCAAAGTCCTGTTACTTTATCAAAATAAATAGTGTAAACGATGATCTGATCTCTAATTATGAGTACTATGTACATATTTTAATGAACTTAACAGTATAATACAATAGTTAGAGACAAGTACCTCTACCTATTTGTAAAAGAAGTTGACCCACTTACTGTTATGCAACCTAGTGTTTTTATTTATCAACACAGGCATTGCTTTCGGTGTACCTGATACATTAATTACTTCTGTCCAGCTCCTTTTGCTTTTCAAAAGAAAGAAGTTTTGAAAATAGGTACTATTATGTGATTATAATAATCATTTGTTTTTAACTGAAGAAAGTTGACAGCAAACATGCCCTTACCATCACAAAATATTAGCTATAAATGGGGAGTCTACTGTGAAATTGCACTTTAGCATCTTACTTGCTAAAATTTGTTGTGAATTACACAAAAACATAGACTTTGAACACCTGGGTTCAAATGCTGGATTTATTTATCTGCTAGCTTTGCTACTTAATTAACAGCTCCATTTCTACATCTGTAAATTAGAAGCAGAAATGCTTTCTTGCTGGATAGGCTACTTAGCTGAGAGTGATGAATGTAAATTACCTGACCCAGTACTTTGCAGTACTGCTGCAAAGTAGATTATCAGTGCTCATTTTCCATCGTTCTTTCAGGAACCTTCCTTTTAAAGAGGACTTGCTGTTTTCCTTTCCTAATGAACTTTCTGAAAACGTATTTGAAAAGCATGGCTAACTATTATACAAGGATATTTTGGGTTTTGTTTTGGATGAAGATGTAAATATAGATATCTTTGCAGAATTAATCTCCATATTTAGCTCTTTTACTTTTCCTTTGGAAACAAAATAATGTGGCTTATTTCTCAATTGCCACTTTTCATCATTTTTCCCTTAAGGTATTCAAAACAATTTTGTTATTCCTCACCCTCTACAAAGTTACTCCTTAACCTTTTCTCTGAATCTCCTACGACAATGTCAAAGTACTTTCTTAGTACTAGGTGTAGCACAGGCCAGTAAGAGCTTTGATTTTTTTTTTTTTTTTTTTTTTTTTTTTTTTTTTTTTTTTTTTTTTGGTCTGTTGGCTGTATTCATTTTCCTTTCTTGTGTCCACTAATTACTTTGGTTAACTGTTCCTCTTGGAATCTTCAGAGTCAGGCACACTTGGTGACTCAGTCAGTTAAGCACCCAACTCCACATGGCATGTGGGATCAACCCCCCTATTGGGCTCTGCTGAGAGCACAGAGCCTGCTTGGGATTCTCTCCCTGTCTTTCTGCCCCTCCCCCACATGCACTCTCTCACAAAATAAATATTTAAAAAATAAATAAAGATAAAACTTGAGGGGGTGCCTGGGTAGCTCTGTTGGTTAAGCATCAGAATCTTGATTTCAGCTCAGGTCATAATGTCATGGTTCGTGGGATCAAGATCAAGCCTCATGTCAGGTTGGGATTCTCTCCCTCTCTCAAAATCAATAAATGAACAAAAAAATAAATACTGGAATATAGAAACATAAAGTAAAATTTCATTCTCCAGAGATAACTAACCCCAATATTAACAGTTTGGCATCCTACCGCATCTTTTCCGTGCGGAAATAATAATCATATACGTACTTACATATCATATTCTTTGCCTTTCTTTTTACACTTAGATGATGGATTTCTTCCTATGTCAACACATGTAAATTTATTCTTAGTGGTTGCCTAGTATTCCCTTTTACAGGATTTATTATTTACGTACTTATTCCTTATTAGTAGACATTTAGGTTCTTGCTAGTTTTCTTTGTTATTCTATCCACTGCTACAATAAGCATTGTTGCATTGTATGTATACTTTTGCCTACTTCGAGTAGTTCTGTAAAATATGTTCTTACAAAAGGAGTTGCTGAGTCGAAGAGGTTGCTGAACCTATAGAAGAATAGGTTCTATTTTTTTGAAAGATAGGTACTATTAAATTGTCCCCCAAAAAGATGTTGAGCCAGTTAATACATCAGCAGTGCTTGTGTGAGAATGAATTCTTATTTTCTCACACCCTCCTCAATTCTGGATTTTTATCCTTGTTTTCTGATACATGAAAATAGTATTTTGTTCTCTTTTATTTTGTTCGATTTTAAGATTGAAATTTTACATCATTTTTTATATGGACATTTGAAAATACTGATTTTCTTTTTATTTAAACTTCACTTTCAGATAAATTTTGATTTGCAAAACAAATTGGCACTGCCCTACATGTTTTTGTTTTTTAAGTTCTTTCCCAGCTTTCTCTACTCACATGTCAGCCCTTCAGACAGACCTTCTCTAGCCACCTTATCTGAACACTCCCCATTTTTTGATGCATCATCCTATTATAGTAATGGAGAATTTTTATTACCTGAAACTAACTTAATGTGTGTATAACTATATGCATGTGTGTATAATATTTATATAAAATATGTGAAATAATATTTCTTTACTATGTTTATCTTTTTCGTGGAGGCAGACTTAATCCATCCTATGTATTGCTATTTTTCCAGTGCCTTGAATACTACCTGGCATATACTTTATTTTATGCCCTACTCACCTAACTCTTAAGTTTGCATCTTGTAGTAACTGAGCAGGGTATATAGGACATACAGTGTCTCTTCATTTTATATAATTAAGCAGCTGAGACCTGAGAATCTTATTAGCCAGATTTCAAATGGATAATCAGTGGATGATGTAGGTTTAAAAACCTTGGTTGACTTCTATTCCAATATTTTTTTCTACTCTCTCATGCTCTTGAAATTTCTTATTCAGAAGTTCAGGAAAGGACCTTATTTTCATTATTCTTAGTAAAATCCTCGTTATCTCATTTTAAAAAAAAGTTGCAGTTGGGGGGCACCTGGGTGGCTCAGTCAGTAAGCGTCCAACTTTGGCTCAGGTTATGATCTTGTGGTTTGTGACTTTGAGCCCCACGTCGGGCTCTGTGCTGACAGTTCAGAGCCTGGAGCCTGCTTTCGGATTCTTCGTCTCCCTCTCTCTCTCTGCTCCTCCCCCACTCACACTCTGTCTCTCTCTCACAAATAAATAAATACTAAAAAAATTTTGTTTTTAAGTAAATAAAACTAAATTAAAAATAAAAAATTTTTTAACATTTATTTATTTTTGTTAAATAGAGAGACAGAGCATGAGCAGGCACCCCTAGGTATCTCATTTATAGGAATACTAATATCCTATCTGAAACATACAGAACAAACCATTTCTCCCAGGAAGTTGGTTGCTTACCTATCATCAAATCATTCTAGTTACCCTTACATAAAAAAAGCACTTACCTGAATTTAAACCGAAAGAAAACTTGGGAGAGTTTTTAAATGTATGCTTTTGCTTTTAATATTTTTAAAAATAATCTATATTCCATCTGTTTCCATGAAATGTGGGATTAAAGCCCTAACTTTTAGTTTGCAATACTACCTACAACTGTTCTTATAAACTGGCTGATTAATTAGTAAGCTAGCTAATATTTAAATTTATAAGCCTTCCTCATCAGTTGCTATTCATTATATAAGACAGAATTGACCAGGTCCATGCCCAATTGGTCCTTCTAGAATAATTTTAGTTAAGTAATATTTTATTTTTAAATAGATGAATCAGTTGTAAAGTTTATAAAATACATATTAATATCTGATATGTGTTGTGTTTGTTTTAATAGGCAAGAAAATAGCATATCTTTGGTGAAAGCGTATTGGAATGAACTTTTTACTCTTGGTCTTGCCCAGTGCTGGCAAGTGATGAACGTGGCAACTATATTAGCAACGTTTGTCAATTGTCTTCACGGTAGCCTTCAAGGTAAGGAGCATTTTATTTATTTCCTTTTCTAGGAGATAAGAGGAGGGGAGAGCATCAGTTTTATAAAGTAGAAGTTAAATATCTGATTAATGTTTTAGGTACCAGCCCCCTTTTTGCTTGAGATAATTTCTACATTTTGATAAATTCATCCATTAATCACCCAAAAATATTTTCAAATCAGCACAACAAAATTATTCATTGGGATATATTCTCTCACTTAAACAGTCCCAGAACAATCTTGACTCTCTTTCCTTTTCTTGATGCCAAGATGATTACAGCTTTCATTTATTTGAGGAGATAGGCAGTCATTGATTTACAAATGTTTAACTTCAGGTTGGCTTGTGACTAACCACCAGCATGCCCCATCCTCAAATGGGAGGAACTGCTTTTCGAATTCAGGAATAATTTACAAATTGGGAGTCATGTGATATTTCCTTAGCATGTTTTACATTATTTTTATTTAGTTATTTTTTTTGAGTGCCAACTCTTTTGTGTGTGTGTACTTTTTTTTTTTAATTTTTATTTTTTAGTTTTTAAAATTTACATCCAAATTAGCATATAGTGCAACAATGATTTCAGGAGTAGATTCCTTAGTGCCCCTTACCTATTTAGCCCATCCCCCCTCCCACAATCCCTCCAGTAACCCTCAGTTTGTTCTCCATATTTATGAGTCTCTTCTGTTTTGTCCCCCTCCCTGTTTTTATATTATTTTTGTTTCCCCTCCCTTATGTTCATCTGTTTTGTCTCTTAAAGTCCTCATATGAGTGAAGTCATATGGTTTTTGTCTTTCCCTGACTAATTTCACTTAGCATAATACCCTCCAGTTCCATCCACATAGTTGCAAATGGCAAGATTTCATTCTTTTTGATTGCTGAGTAATACTCCATTGTATATATATATGCCACATTTTCTTTATCCATTCATCCATCGATGGACATTTGGGCTCTTTCCCTACTTTGGCTGTTGTTGATAGTTCTGCTATAAACATGGGGGTGCATGTGTCCCTTCAAAACAGCACACCTGTATCCCATGGATAAATGCCTAGTAGTGCAATTGCTGGGTCGTAGGGTAGTTCTATTTTTAGTTTTTTGAGGAACCTCCATACTCTTTTCCAGAGTGGCTGCAGCAGCTTGCATTCCCATACATTATTTTTAAGTCATCTTCCATTTCCTGTTTGAGGGCAGAAAAATCACCTTAATGTCATCAACAGTAGATCCTGCTAGAAGGTAGCACTACATTCCTATCTTACTTATGGACTCCTGGTCTTGATTCATTTCTCATGAATTTGTAATGAGTTATACACAGCCTACTTTCACTAAAGCTATGGTTGACTAATCAGATGTGTTTTAAACACTATAAATTTTAAAAGTTCTTATAAAACTATTCAACTTTTCTTTTGGTCTTGGTAGTGTTTTTTGCTAAGTATTTGTTTCTACTTTAGTAGTGTTGGTAACTTTTAAAAACTCTAAGCTTAAATTAAATCTTGTTATCAAGATCTGAGTCTTGTAGGCCAGTTTTTCAGGAGGTTATCTTTACAGCTTATCTTCTCAAAGATGTATCTTGAAAGGAAACACTAAATTTGTTGAGGTTTTTGTTTTGTTTACTAGCAGCTTGTTTTTTTCTTGAATGAGCACTATCTGAAGATCATTAATTAGTTTCATCTTTGCAGTGATACAGAATTTTAAACATTTATAGATTGGCTGTATTCAAAACTGGAAATTATTGAGAAGGAAATGTCTTGGGTAAAAATAGATATACATTTTAGCCAAAAACTAGAAGCTTTTGTCTGTTTGTTTTTAATTAAAGATAAAATGTCAACAGAAAGAAGAAAATTATTGATGGAGCACATCTTTAAACTACAGGAGTTCTGCAACAGCATGGTTAAACTCTGCATTGATGGATATGAATATGCCTACCTGAAGGCAATAGTACTCTTCAGTCCAGGTACTACATAAACATTTACTTCTTATTTACCATACAGTGGCTGGGGGTATGGGGAAATGGGAACCCTCATACATTGCTGATGGGAATGTAAAATGATGCAGTTAAAGTGGAAACAGCCCAAGTGTCCATCAACAAATGAATAAACAAAATGTAACATCTACATATCCACATACAGCAGAATATCATTGCACCATTAAAAGGAATGAAATTCTGATACCTGCTACACCATGGTTGAAAACAGTATCCTAAGTGAAAGAGGCCAGTTACAAAAGATCACATTTTATATGATTCCATTTCTATGAAATGTCTAGAATAAGCAAGTCTGTAGAGACATAAAATAGATTGGTGGTTACCAGGGACTAAGGAGCGAGGAGCATGGAAAGTGACTACTAACAGGCACAGAGTTTCTTTTGGGGTAACAAAAATCTAAAGTGTTCTAAATGTTTTGGGATGATGGTTGCCTAACTGTGAATATACTAAAAACTATTGAATTATACACTTTAAATCAGTGAATTTTATGGATGTTAGACATTTATCTAAGTATGAGAAAGTTGAAGAAATCATCGAAATGACATAGTTATGGTCACATCAGCATTTGAATTCTTTGGCATATTTTGCTAGGCATCGCTAATAGGCAAATGAAAGATGAGTATTGTTTTGTTAATGGGTTAAACTTCTAAACATCTGATTAGAGTTACCAACAGGTAGAAAAATGTCTCCTGTTTTCCTGACAGTTTGTAGCTTTCACATATGGTAAAATGACAGTAAGTTCAATGATCAATTTCTGAATAAGGAAAACTGACTGTTCTTTTAGACTCTGTTTTTTATTTTGGTATGTATTTCTGTTCCTGTGCATCATAATAAAATTATCTGAGAAAACCTGCTTTTTACACTCAGTGATTCCAATAAGATGATTAAAGCTTTTTTTTTTTTTTTTAAACCGTTTCTTATAATGTTTCACGTAAGTTAATAATATATATCTACATTTTAATCACAACCAATTTGCCACCTTCATTTTCCTTAAGTTTGAGAGAACACAGATTTGATACAATGTAATTTTATTTTATTAAATATTCTCAATATTTTTTTTTTTAATTTATTTTGAGAGAGAGAGCACATGCGGGAGGGGCAGAGAGAGAATCCTAAGCAGGTTCTACACACTGTCAGCACAGAGCCTGATGTAGGGCTCACACTCACAAACCTTGAGAACATGACCTGAGCCAAAACCAGGAGTCAGACACTTAACTGACTGAGCCACCCAGGTGCCCCGCTCTGTACCTTACTAAATGAGCATTTAAAAGTAGGGTAACAATATATTCTTCGATGTTTCAGATCATCCAGGCCTAGAAAACATGGAACAAATTGAGAAATTTCAGGAAAAGGCATATGTGGAATTCCAAGATTATATAACCAAAACATACCCAGATGACACCTACAGGTATCTACAAGTTAAATTAGTTAATTAAATACATCCTAAAATTTTTTGTGAATCTGTTATTTTTTTTTTTCCATCCCAAGAGTAATTCAGTGTTTTGGTCACCATGGACCTTTGAAATAGCTAATGCTTTTAAAAGCAATAGTGCATTGTTGTGAGTGATTAACAGGTAGTATTTCACACAATTCTTACAATGCTATAAGAAAACTGAAGAGAGAGGTTAAATAACTTACTCAAGGTTACACATAAATGGCAGGGCCTGTCTGTGAACCCAGGTTGTATAACTCTAGTGCCCAAACTCTGTTTTCTTCAACTGAAATAAGGGATTTTATTAGTAAAAGGGAAAAAATAGGAATGAATGAATAAAAACACCGTTCGACTATTTTATAGGTAATTTAGAAATTTGGTTTATGATATTTCTACCAAGGTATTTCTTGATAACGTCCTTTGAAAAAAATTTTTGGAAGATCCAACTCCGTTTTTGAAGAGGAAACAATCTTGGAGAGCAGTAGTGAAGCACATGGCTTTCAGAGCCAGAATACCAGGCAGGGTTTGACTCTTGACCCTAGCTGTGTGACCTTGGGCAAGTTATTCAACTTGTGTTTCAGTTTCTCTATTAAATGTAGACAGTACCCACATTTTACAATTGGTATAGTGGTTGAATCAGTTCATATATGTAAATAGCCTAGGACAGTGCCTACTACATAGTATGTTACATATATAGTATACATCTTTTAATATAATATATAGTATATATATTTATAGTAAGGGCTATATAAATGTGTTTACTAATATTAGTCTTAATTTTACATGCTTCAAACTAATAAAAGAATGTTTTGCATAAAATAATTTTTTACAGGGGTGCCTGGGTGGCTTAGTTGGTTAAGTGTCCAACTTCAGCTCGGGTCATGATCTTGCGGTCCAGGGTTCAAGCCCCACATCAGACTCTACTGACAGCTCAGAGCCTGGAGCTTGCTTCGGAGTCTGTGTCTCCCTCTCTCTCTGCCCCTCTTCCACTTGTGCTCTGTCTCTCAAAAATAGACATTTTTAAAAAATAAAATAACATTTTATAGATAGTGTGTAATGGATTTATAAGCCAGTTCCACCTTGAAAATCAGCTTTAGTTTATCTAACCGGTTTTCCTACCCTGCTTCCTACCAGCTTTATTGCTGCAGCTCAGCTGTTGGGAATAAACAGGAACTGAGTAATTTGAGGAGGAGAGTATTGGCTACAGGAAGGTGACTTAATCCTGGTTTCAGTTGGTCTCAAATGTTTGGGTACAAGACCTTAGACTATGAGCGGGATAAACATACCCAAGCTTTTTGGAATGGTTTTTGTTGTTGTTGTAGGTTTTGTTGTGATTGCTTTCAGTTTTTTAATGTTTCAAAACTTGTTTTATACCTCATTATACAAATTAAATTGTTCCTCCTCTTTGACATATAGTTTTTGCTGACCTCTCTTCCATTAGGTTCCAGGTGCTTTGACTGATCGCTGGAACTCTTTCTCAGTTTCTTACATTCTGATTTATTTAAAAATAATAAATTATCAGAGCACCTGGGTGGTTTGGTCAGTTAAGTGTCTGACTCTTGATTTCAGTTCAGGTCATGATCTCACAGTCAGGAGATCAAGCCACACATGGGGCTCTGTGCTGACAGCACAGAGCCTGCTTGGGATTCTCTCTCTCTCCCTCTCTCTCTGCCCCTCCCCCACTTACATGCATATGCTCTCTCTCAAAAATAGACTTAAAAATAATAATAAATTAGCAGCAGTTTTCAACTTATAATATGCCTTCATGCAAGGTATGGGCCTGCCTTTAAGATCCTCAATAGCATAGAAACTGGCAGGGATCATTTCATTAATCTTCATCATAACACCGAGAGATGGCTAACACACATTCACAGAGGTAGGGGAGCAGGTGAATTAAGATTTGAACCCAGTGGTCTTGATTCCATATTCTGTGCTCTTCCCAGTAGTAACTGTTGCCTGCTTTACCATTTCCATTTGTCTTTTTGATTACCATTGAGCCCCATGTGTCCTGATAACACAAAATATTGTTGTTCTTATAACCTCAACTGAGTTTCTAAGCCACTTTTTTTTTTAAGTTTATTTATTTATTTTGAGAGAGAGAGAATATGCACATGGAGGGGAGGGGCAGAGAAAGAGGGAGAGACAGAGAGAATACCAAGCAGGCTCTGTACTGTCAGCACAGAGCCCAATGTGGGGCTCAATCCCACGAACTGTGAGATCACGACCTGAGCCGAGATCAAGAGTTGGATGCTTAACCCACCAAGCCACCCAGGTGCCCCAAGTTTCTAAGCCATCCTTAAATGTATAATGTGATCTGTGTTTTAATAACTTAGTTCCATGGTCCATATGACCAAGTGGAGGCAACACAGTGTAGCAGTTAAGAGCAAGGCTTTCCAGTGAAGTCTGTCAGACTGCACTTATAGCCAGATGATTGTCATGTATTCTGAGGCTTGAGAATACTTAAGTTTTGTTTTGTTTTAATGTTTATTCATTTTTGAGAAAGAGGACAGAGCATGAGCAGGGATGGGGAAGAGAGAGGGAGATACAGAATTCAAAGCAGGCTTCAAGTTGTCAGCACAGAGCCTGACGCGGGGCTCGAACTCACAAACCGTGAGATCATGACTTGAGCTAAAGTCGGACACTTAACCAATTGAGCCACCCAGGCACCCCGAGAATAAGTTTTTATTTTAAGTTTTATTTTAAGTTATTTATTTTAAGTTTATTTTATTTTAAGTTATTTAAGTTTTTATTTTATTTAAGTTTTTATTTTAACTGGTGAAAATTAGATCTTTATTAAATTAGACTTCAACCAGGTACATGCAGAAATTGCTCCTAGTTTTCTACTAAATCTCTTTTTTATTTACCCCTTGTTTTTTCCTTCCCCTTTATTTTTCAGGTTGTCCAGACTACTACTTAGATTACCAGCTTTGCGATTGATGAATGCTACTATCACTGAAGAATTGTTTTTCAAAGGCCTCATTGGCAATGTACGAATTGACAGTGTCATCCCACATATTTTAAAAATGGAACCTGCAGATTATAACTCACAAATAATTGGTCACAGCATTTGAAATCTGAGATATCAGTGTAAACTTACTGTTCTTTCCTGGAACACAAAATGACACCAAATTAAACTAGTTACTTCCAGGGTATCTGGAAATTTTGACTTTAAAGAGTAACCAAAAACCAAGGTGTTTTTATTTTAACTTCTTAAGAATTTTTGAAGTGACTGGGCAGGTATCAGGAATCAAAATTTCCTTTCCTGCCTTATTTAAGTGAATAAGAAATATTATGAATTTATTCTTGGTTAAGAGGACACCTTAAGCTGTCACTTCTTGGCATCTACACTAAGATCTCTTATTATATTTTATCTTATAAAACAAATAAATTAGTCTTTTTTTTTCCAGAATTGTGTTCTATTCATATTTTTCATTATGAACTAGTACAAACACTTAATTGTCAGAAATACCTAAGGAGGATTTCCTTGCATTTTACTCTTAATATATAATCTGTTTTAATTACCACGTAAAAGAAGATTCTTTTATTCTCAGTGACATAATGGTAACATTAGAACCATAGGAAATAATAACTGAATATATATATTTTTTTGTCTTTTGTAAATATTATGGAACCTTTAGCATATACCACTCTCATTGCTGGCAATGAGACATAGGCCATTTATGTCTCAAGACTTTTTTTAGTGTTGTATATTATTAGTTACAAGCACTTTTTATTTATGTATGTAGCAGAAAATTGTTTTTGAGAATGAGGTAGGGTTCATGTTTTAATATTTTTGGTTTACTGCTATGTTTTAAAGTAGTAGAGACTGAGCCCCAAATGTTTCAGTATTTCCAAATGGATATTAAAATTATTGCTTTTCCATTCCACAAATGGCATTTGACTTCTCTCCCTCTTTCCTGACCTGCATTATAACTTCCTGACCCTTCCGTGAGTTTTAGCCAGTTTCTTTTAGGGCCTTAGAAATACCCAATTTGTTAAATAATGGATTTCTCATAGCCAATCTGTGTTTTCAAGGTGAGTTAAACAATTATTTTAAAGCAAATTGGTAATTTTCAAAAATTTACGTTTTTTAACATGTAAAGGAATATGCACTGATATTTGATATTTCACCCTAAAGGAGGGAAAGCTATTTTAACAAGAGTATGCACATCAACCTGAAGCCTTGTTGCCACAACAAAACCATTTTAGACTCCCTGGATGCCTTCCACAGTAATGTTTTCCTCAGCAAACCTGATTAACTGTTAAATCTTTCCTTGCTCTGATTGTCATAATGAATTTTGGTTTATCTATTTGTTGATTTTTTAAAAATATGGAGATTTTATTGCACTCAGAGTACATTTTTATAAAGATTTTTGCAACAGAAGAAAAGCTGAATTTAGGGGAGGATGTGGATTTTACTAATTGTTACTTTATAGTAAATCAGAAGTTTAAAAGTATCAACTTTCAGTCTTTACCAACTTATTAAGGGAAAATTTTTCCCCTATTGTAAATGTAATTTTTATCAACAGTTTTATTTATAATTATCAACTGGGAAAAACTACATTTAGTATAAAATATTCAAATGGAAAAATCAGTAGGTTTATATCTTTATAAACCCATTGAAATAAGCCAAGGATTCAGGAAAATAATTCTTTAAAATAATATACTAATGGTTAATTAAGATACATTTTTCTTTCAGGTATTTTTCCTGAATAAATTTGTAGTTATATTTGGAAGTATTTTTAAAACTCTATTAAAATGTGACCATTAAAAATGTCGATTTATTTGATTTCAGAGTGTTTGGTCATCCATTTGTTTGTTCTGTTAAGAAATCTCTAACAGAATTTATTAAAGTACTTCTAGGAAGGGAAATGCATGGAAAACATTTCCATATCCAGTATTTTAGGATTATTTACAACTCAGTTTGAAGACTTTCAGCTAAAACTGCAGATTAACTATTAATTTATTTTCTCTCCTGAAGTCTTAGTAAAATAACACAATGTGTAAAGTGTAACCACACAATGAGAAATGAAACAGGAAACAAGAAATCAAAGGAAAGCAAATTCAGTAAATTCTTAGAAAACAAAATGGAGGTAGAGAGAGACTAACTGACTTATTAGCAGAGCCGGAATCAAGGAAGCTCTAATCAGAGTGCCTGCAAAAGGCAGTTCACTGAGAAAGATGCCAGTAGCCAGAAAAGATGCTCGGTATCTGGAAGAACTGGTGTTCATATTCAGAGATGATGCTTGGGACATTTAAAAAAAAAAAAGAAAGAAAAGATTGGTTGCAGGTCTGTGTACAGAATTATTGAATTATCTTTTTCTACCCTCAGGTCAAGTGACCACTTTTGTCCTTCCAGCTTTTTGAGCAGGAGGTAGAGGTTAATTCTCTTTAGAAATGAACTGGAAGAGCCGAGGATTTCCAGGGTACCAGGGATAACAGCTTGGATTAGTTATATTAAGGGTTGAAAATACAGATTAAGTGAAAATCTGCATTCTGAATATGGGCTCCCTAATCATGTTCCCACAATGCTGGCCATTGGAATAGGCTTCTCTGCCAGGATTTTTTTTCTTCAGAGAAATTAATTGCCCTTAGAGAAAAGATCTCCAGGTACTCACTTTTGGTTGTACCTTGATGAAAAGCCTCTTTGCTACTTTATCACTCTTCAGTGAAGCCAACTAATTTCCAAATTATATATATGTATATATATAAACATATATACACACACATATATACAGACATACATACATATACGTAGGGTTTCTATTCAGGTCTTTAGTGCCTACTATTAAATATGAACTTAGAACCAGGATCACTAGATAATTGAGGAGAATCTCCAGTACCTAAAAGAACAGACATTCTTAGGTCCCAAGGGAGGCAAATATAATCCAGGGATCAGAAAAATATCCACCTCCAGGGGCGCCTGGGTGGCTCAGTTGGTTAAGCATCTGACTTCAGCTCAGGTCATGATCTCACTGTTTGTGAGTTCTATGCTGACAGCTCAGAGCCTGGAACCTGGTTCAGATTTGTGTCTTCCTCTGTCTCTGCCCCTCCCCTGCTCATGCTCTGTCTCTCTCTCTCAAAAATAAACATTAAAAAAAATTTTTAAAGAAAAACATCCACCTCCAGAGGTAATATTTTGAAAGATGTTGTATCCATTAAATGAGAACAGGATGCTTTGAAAAGGGAAATTTGGTCTGTGTCCTCTCTCTCTGCCCCTCCCCCGCTCACACTCTCTTTTCTCTCAAATATGAATAAACATTAAAGAAAAGGGAAATTTGGGGCAAGTAACTGTCCCTGGAAATTAAAAATGATAGCCAAAGTGATTCATTAGAAGGGTTGGAAGATAAAGTTTTTGAGAAACTCCCCCTGAAAGTATAACCAAAAGATAAAGTAAGAAAAAATAAAATTAGAGAATCAAATCAGGAGGCCTAACATTTTATAACAAGAGTTAAAGAAAACAAAGGCTTGAGGTAAGGCAATTATTAGATAATACAAGAAAAGGTCCACGAAGGGATATGTGTCTCTAGGTTGAAAGGATCCACGCTTTAAATGAAAAAGATCCTTACTGTCTTAATATCAGAACAATATAGTCAGAGAAGATACCATATTGCTGCTTCTAGCAATATAGTGGAATCAGTAGGTACCATGAAGGCCTTTGATCTGTTGCTGGGCTCATGAGTCTGACATGAATTTTCAAAGAAGTCTAAAGTTGGTGCAGGTCCTGAGTTCTGCCCCTCACCCCCTACCCCACTCCCTGTTCTGGCAGAAGCAAATACACATCTTTTCTGGAAAAAGTATCCGTAATTTTTTTTTTAACATTTATTCTTCAGAGACAGAGTGTGAGTGGGGGAGGGGCAGAGAGAGAGGGAGACAGAATCTGAAGCAGGCTCCAGGCTCTGAGCTTTCAGCACAGAGCCCAACATGGGGGCATGAACTCCCCAACCACGAGATCATGACCTGAGCCAACAATGGACGTTTAACTGAGCCACCCAGGCCCCCCCCCCAAAATATCCATAATTTAGATCAGAAGTGCCAACACAATCAGAAGTGTGCCAACACTTTTTTGTGAAGGGCCAGGAAGTAAATATTTGTTTTACTTTGTGGGCCATCCTGTGTCTAGCAACTAGTCAACTCTATTGTGCAAAAGCAGCTATAGACAGTCCATAAATGAATGGGCCTGGCTGTAGTGTAGTAGAACACTTAAAAAGCAGGTAATGGACCAAACTTGGCCCTTGGGGCATAGTTTGCTGACCTGTAATTTAGAACCTCACCCCTAATTAAGCTCACCCATATATGAGATGACAAAATTACCAAACACAAGGAAACAAGCCACTTGAACAAGTCAGAGATAAGCAACACACATAGATCCTGAAAGACAGTATGAGATACTAAAATTGTCACATCCAGATTATAATTATGATACGTTTTAAGGGAAAAAAAAAAAAATAGGACCAAAAAGTAAGCAAGAAAAGGGAATAGCAAAAAAGACCAAGTAAATTATAAAAGCAAGCCAAAACAATATTTAGAAATGAAAAACAAATTTTAAAAATCCATGGTGGAAGATCATGCCTCCAACACATACATTTAATTCTAACTCCCTTAGACATCATTAAAACAGCCAAAAGTTTGTTCAAGGCATTATCTCATAAAGACAAAAATAATGGGAGAGAAATAAATGAAAGCCACAAAAATTTGAAAGCTGGAAAACACATTAGTGGTGATCATTTTAGCAAACCTGAGAAGGCTGACTTAGCCTACAGTAGAGAAAGCTGAGGAGCAGCCTGATGTGCACCACACATCCTCCAGAATGCTCTAGGATTTGCAGCATCTGCTTGGGAAGGGGAAATAAGAGATTAAAAGTCTGTTAAAGAGGCAGAAACACTGGAATGATAGAATTTGAAGTTGAATTACCACATGCAGAGTATGTGAAGCAACACAATGTGTGTTGAAGATGGGAGTGTCTGTTGATAATAACCATCTCCAGAAAGTAAATTTACATTACATTGTAAAGTATGTGCACATATCTGCTTATTTACCCTACAGAAGCTCTTGTACATGTGCCAGGAGG